GTCCAGTAAAAGAAAATTTTATTTGTCAAATACAAGAAAAGATATTACACTTTTTGTGATTTTGTAACATGGGGTCTATGGGGAATCAACCCGAACAAGAAGTCACATTTTCAAAAAAAATTAAATTTTCAAAGTTGATAAACAATTTTCGAAACCATCTTTCTAGATGTACTTTTACATGTAGAATTCAAATATGACATCACTTTGACTGAATTTTGAATATCTAATGACGTAAATCAAGATTATTTCTACTCGCATCTAGTCAATTTCTCGGCCAGCACAATCGCAAAAATTTACACTGAAAGAGGGCGATTTGGGACTTCTTCTTTTGAAAGTAGATGGATGAATATGTGGTGAAATTCAATATGCAAAAAAAGTCCAGAGGGGCCTTGATTGTGCTAGCCTCTTTAAGCTTTTCAAAAGTTAAGCACATTTATAAGCACAGTATTATCAAAAAATGACACATAAATGGGCAAAATGACCAATTTTTCACTTTCAGCAATAGTTGTTTATATTTTTAGTTTAGTTTTAGATCATATATATTCAATTATGTGCCTTGTTATCTTCAAAGCATAGACAATGTTTTTTAAACACATATGTACATATTAAAGATAAAATTACTATACTACATGTACCATATTTTTAAAAGATTACTCAAAAATAGAATAGTGCAAAATAATTTTGTAATTTCACATTTTACTCTCATATGAATCAAAGAATATGTCTATGTATAAACATGATTGTTCACAACTCTCGAACTTAATCCAGCAACAGCATGATTTTTAATATCTCCCTGGTTCTATGTTAGAGCTGCATTTCAGTCATTTTAAATGTCTAAGATGCTCATGACACCACAAGCTATATTTAGATATGTAAAGATCTCTAAATAATTTTTATAGTTCTGAGAAACTCATCCTAAAATATTAGGACATATGTTTCTAAGTGATCAAATTTGACCATATCAAAACATTTTTGCCTGTTTTGCTAAACATGGCAAGCATATATATGGTAATAGCTACCATATGAGGAGAGAGATGGTTTGGCAAGGAATATTCCTTTAACATTGAATTCCTTTGTCATGTCTGCAGCACTGTACTAGACATGGGCCATAAGGAGAGTGTCAACTTCTTCATGATTAGTATTTGATAGATTGTTGCAACTATCAGTTTTGCAAACTTTAATAGCAGCTCTGCCATAAGTGAAATTCATCCCATTTTAGAGATACAGTAACATTGCTTCACAAACCAAAGACAGCTTGTCATTTTGTAATCCTTTTCAAAATCATCTTGTTGGCCAAGCCTTTGACAACATTGCAATTGATATGAGGGAATTCAACCAATATGGCTTGATCACTGGTTATAATTATCACACTATAATACCCCATTACATTTAAATATATTCCAAGTGTTCTACTATACATTGCATAGATTCATGAGCAGTTTGCAAAGTATTATTACCAGAAAGCCCAAATAGACAAAGATAGAGAATACCCGCCCCATTTGCAACTCAACTTTAAAAGTCTAATGTTTAGACTTGTATACTCATGAAGTTCCTGAAACATCTGAAAAATATCAAATAATACATAGTATTGATCTAGAATACCGACAACTTTGTTAAAGTCTATACTTTGAAATTGTTTGGTTTTTATATTTCTGGTTATTTTTTCAAAATAAATGGGGTAGGGGAGATATGTAAGCTCTAATATAATGACAGGCTGTCCAATATACATGTTTAAATACCTTAAATCAAAGTAGGCAGGCAAAAGAACAGATTTGTTCAAGAATCCATCAACCAATCAGCATAAAACTCAAGATAGAAGGAAATACAGTCTATGTTATTGCTAAAAGTGGAAATGATGAAAAATTGATGAAAAATGCCAAATTTTGTTCTTAAATGTCTTATTTCTAAACATTAATTATACCATTCAATAACACATAAAGAATGGCTACATCTTTGTTAAAGTTTATACTGGTAATTTGAAGTTATTTTTTATATTTTCCAGTCATCTTCCCTTATAAATAGGGTAGGGGAGATCTGAAAGCTCTAATATGAACATTGTTTGTCCACTATACATTATCAATACCTTAAATGGAAGAAGACATGTACAAGAACAGATTTAATAAAAAATACATCACCCAGTCAGCATAAACTCAAGATATAAGGATTTATATGTTATTGCTGAAAGCAGCATTGATTAAAAAATGCCAAGTTTTGTCCTTAAATGTCTCATTTCTAGCCACTTGAATACCAATAAAGGTTTTTAAAAATCTTAGAAACATTAAATAACACATAATATTGATAAAGAACAGCTACAACTTTATTAAAGTTTATAATTTGAAGTTATTTTATTTCTTCATATTTCTCGTTTATTTTCCATAACAGATGGGGTAGGGGATATCTGAAAGCTCTAATGTGAACATTGTTTGTCCACTATACATTTTCTATACCTTAAATGGAAGAAGACATGCACAAGAACAGATTTGATTGAAAAAGAAACAATCAGACAGCATAAAACTCAAGATATGAGGAACTATATATTACTGCTGAAAGCGAAAATGATAAAAAAAATGCAAAGTTTTGTCCTTAAATGTCTCATTTCTAGCCACTTGTATACCGATAAAGGTTTTTAAAAATCTTAAAAACATTAAATAACACATTTTATCCCATGGTTACAAGGATATAGATCGAATATCAGGTGAAGATATATTTGATATGTGGATCAAGACATCATATTTTAGCAAAAAATCCTCAAACCATCGAATATCACTTCTCAAACCATCGAATATCACTTCTCAAAAAGTGATATTCGATGGTTTCAAAAGTGATATTCGATGGTTTCAAAAGTGATATTCGACTGTTCGATGGTTAAGATTTTTTCAATAATTTTTGTCAATTTTTTTTTCAAGATTTTCTTAAAAAGAATTTAGATTTTTTCCTTCAAATTTTTTTTCAAAATTTTTTCTCGAAATCTTTTTTAAAAAAATTTTTTAACATTTTTTTCGCTGGGTTAAGATTTCCCATGGGATAAACGGACAATCCTATGGTTTTTCAAAAATATCAATTATATCCACTCATGGATATCAATATCTTCACTCATTCGCTGTGCTCACTCGTAAAGATATAAATATCCACTCATGGATATAAATGATATTTTTTCAAAACCATAGAATATTCCTATAATATTGATATAGAATAGCTACAACTTTGTTAACGTTTATAATTTCAAGTTATTTTATTTTTTCATATTTTTCGGTAATTTTGCATAATAAATGGGGTAGGGGAGATCTGAAAGCTCTCATACGAGCATTGGTTGTTCACTATACATTTTCTATACCTTAAATGGAAGAACACATGTACAAGCACACATTTAATCAAAATTGCAACAACCAGTCAGCATAAAACTCAAGATATAAGGAACTATATGTTAATGCTGAAAGCGAAAATGATTAAAAAATGCCAAATTTTGTCCTTAAATGTCACATTTCTAGACACAGGTATACTAATGAAGGTCCTGAAACATCTGAGAAACCTTACACAACACATAATATTGATATAGAATAGCCACAACTTTGTATGAGTTGAACATTTTGACTTTTTGTAGTTTCCATTTTTAGCTAATTATTTTCTAAAAATTCAAGGTATGTCTTCTTCGGACCAGTATTTAGATATGTTCGCAAGAGTTATATGCTTCGCAGGCGAAACCCCTTATGCAGGACACCCTAATAGAATAAAAAATACAGAGAAAGTCCATCCAGCTCAAAAAGTCATTTTTTCCTTAACGGAGCCTCTTAGAAAATTTTCCACCCCGAGTATATGTCATTGATGCGGTTTTATAGCTGGTTTTCTAATACATATTTTAAACGAGCTCGTTTCGTAAGATTTTTGGCGCTAAATCATGCATGACATACATCATCGTGTTCAGCAAGAATTCAACTGTGCATCGAAATCAAAATTGACAGCATAGTGTTCAATAGACACGAGTAAAATGGTTCCCGTTGACCCAACGTCAAATTTCAAATCTCCCGTTCTAAACCCGAAACTCTGAAGCTGAAAGAGTATCTGAAGTAGACTAAGCGCGCATAAAACTGTGAGCGCTCGATACATTCCTTTGTTAATTTTTGTACTTTGCGTTCACGGTTACGTTGTGAAAAACATCGTTAGCTTAACCTCTCCATTAACAAAAATATAAACCTGAAAAAATGCAAATATGGCTATTACCTGTCAAATCCCGATTTAAATTGGGAGAACTCACGATTTTTTATTGCTCATCGCGATTTATTTTTCAAAATCCAGATTTTCAAAAAATCCCGATTTGTTAACGAGACATCCCGATTTTTCAGTAAAAACTCCCGATTTCTAAATGTTACCCTCCCGATTTTCGTTCAAAACTCCCGATTTGTTAATTAGATGCCCCCGCAAAAAATGAAAGTATACGACAGGTTTTGTGATAAAATAAAATACAAGCTACACATACAAAATACACTTGTAAAGCTCTTTCATCTTCTTTTAACTACAGTATTCTAGACCAGAAATAAATCGAACGTTCTGGGACTGGAAAATTCCGAATTAAGTGTAAGGGACGTAGATAATTCTCACAATGCAAACTAGGCCTTTTACTGCTACCTTTGTATTTTTATAAAATTGTTCAGAATTCTAGTATCCTGGCTTTGAAGTTGGGTACATTTTTGTGGACGCCCTGTATTTTGCATGTTTTTGGTTTTCTAAAATAACAATTCGGTTTTCAGTCTCAAAACCGAAATCATTCGGTTTTGATCATTTTACCCATCATTAATTGATGGGTAACTTATTAAAAAAAACATTCATGCAACTTTGACAACTTCGATCACGCCGTCGCACCGGACAAGTCAATCATCGGCTGTATACCGAGAAGGAAGGAAGGGTGAAGTCCCTTAAATCAGTTAGTTAGTAGATGGTAGCCTTTAAATGTATATCCTACGTAAACGAATCAAACCAATATGCTAGAATCAACTGTGACTTACAACATTGTTGCCTTGTTTTAAATTTGTGGAGAATTGTGCACTGTTCCATCCTTGACCTTGGTTTCCAGAGATCTCCCCGACATCAAGAATCACACCATTTTGTTTCTCAACTTGCACCTGGAATGATACACAGATAGTTTAGAAAACTGAGTAGCAATTCATGATGTTGATTGATTGAGCTTTGTCTGAGCTAGGATGAAGAAATGAAATGATATGTAACTCCCTATAGGCCCCATATAAATTCCTTCATTTCTTCATCCTATGTCTGAACAATTAGGCTATCACGATTGATTTAACTTAATTTGACATGCGACATGCGCGTTATCAAAACCCCGTGTAATTTGGCTTTGTATAAAAAACCTCCTACCTCGCACCCACCTACCCACGTACGTGGGACATGATACAGTCGTTGAAGGGTTCAATTTTAAAGGTTATTTATTATCATTTAAGTTATTAAATCTTAGTTTATGTTGAATTATAGATTAATCAATGCACCCAAATGCCTTTATTGTCTGTCTAGCCATAAAATAAAGCCAGAATTGCAAAAATGAAAAGGAACTCTGGGAGAGACAAGTGACAAAATATTGCTTCTTGGACGAGATCAAACGACTTTGACATAATTATTCCGTGTGTGAATATTTCAATTATTCAGATTTCGCCGTGGATCCGATTTTAAATGCTTCTAAATGATCTTCTAATGCTTACTTTGATTTATATTTGTAATGTTTTGACTTACCCGCTTCATAAAAGAATATCATCACCATTTACTCTATATTAAGCACAAACTGAGAATGAATAATAATCTTCAAAAATTGCACCCTTCAAAGACTGTTTAAGACCCACGTACGTGAGTACGCGGTTTTGTTTTTTATACAAAAATCATTTCGAGAAATCAAAAGCAGACATGAAACAAAATAGCTTAAATCATTTTATTAACATTTCTGCAATTCCGGCTTTATTTATGACTTGACAGATGACAGATCCATGAATAAAGGAATATGGGTGCATCAATTCATCTATAATTCATCATAAACTAAGATTTAATAACTTCTTTAAAATTGAACCCTTCAAAGACTGTATCATGTCCCACGTACGTGGGTACGTGGGTAGGTGGGTACGAGGTAGGAGGTTTTTTATACAAAGCCGGGTCTTACCTTCAAATTACCCATCTTAGAACCCCACATGTTGTACATAAATTCTACACAATATCTCCCCTTTTCTGCAATTGTAGGACTTTTCAGTATTGCTGTTCGCTTCGTGTTTCCCGTTGCTTCAGCCAACAGATAACTTCCTGTTCAATGCAAACAAAATATAATTCAATTATCAGCGACCCGAATGACCTATATAACGAAAGCATAAGAAAGTCAAGAAAATCCTAAAGGCTTCAAAAAACATACCTTTTTAAATCAGCAAATTAAATTCATAAAAATGAAAAATTTATAATAGTTTGAAAAAATAACTACAAGGCTTAGTCAATATAAACGCATGGGTAACAGGGTAAGCCCAAAATTCAGGTTATGAAAAATTGCATTTATGAGCTCCAATTCGTTTTAAAGCATATATTCGTGCTTGGGATATCGATACTAGTCGTATACATGTACCCACAATCTACTTTACAAGTTGAAAATGTCCCTTGGTGTTCTGGTCCTGGATTGTGATATTGGTTCTCGATTGGAGGGGGAGGGGGGTGTTAGACAGTCATTGTTTCTTTTCACGTTAGATCATGGTTTTGGGATATATAGGGTCTACTTTTCTTATGACAGATTAACACTTACAGTTTGCTTTTCTTGTTGGGTTTCTTTAAAGTTTTTAGTCACCCTTCCCTTTGGCATTTGTGCTTATATATTAAAGGTCTGGGATTGGTCCCCGGATTGGTCCCAACATTGAGTCCATATTTGGTACTCATTTGCACATTCCTTTGACACACAAGAGTCCAGTGTGAGCATAAAGTCAATTTTACCTTTTTCCATCCACAGAGCTCCCTCCTAAGGTTAACCTTATTCGCAAACTTAATACATCATCAGATAATCAATGGTGAAGTAACAATCAACTTACTTGCAAAATTTTCAATTGGACCTGTCTTTTCTGTAGGAGTGGAACCATCGAAGATAACCCAGTCAAATTCTCCTGCATTTTCAAATCCACACTTTTCTCTATTGAAATTGCAAAACACGGAATTTTCTAAAATTGAAAAATTAAGACCCAAATGATACATCCGATGAACAAAACAGGCATCTTCTCAGAATGCGCTCAAAAAGTGGGGCAACCAAAAGTTCCCTTTGGAACCAAACTTTTGGAGGGGGTGTAACATCGTGTGTTATATGTTAGGAATATAAATAATGTCGAACAACTCGAATTAAAAAATGACAGTACACAATTGATCACTGGCCTATCATCTCACCATAATTTTTACACATAGGCAGTTGTGTGATACTTGGTTCTGTTGTAGTTGTGGTAGTTCGCCTTCGGGAGGTCCTAGCTGATGTAGTATATACAGGTCTCCTCGTAGGTCTAGTTGTGACTGTTTCTTCAAAGTCCTCGTCTTCAGACCTAAATGGGACTTGCTTTCTGTTTTTGGAGGATTTTCCGTTGTTTGCCTTCTCTAAATACACGACATATACTCATGATTGTATAAAGAGATCGATTACACGTACATTATTTGAGTATTGACAAATTCAAACATGTATGTCAAAAATTCCAATATCAGAGTTGCCGACTTTTTTTGCCAACTTTCAGGGGATAAGTCTGGCAATTAGCTTCAGTCTCAAAATAGCGTGTCTGTGTATCAGTGCTATTGATTTGTTTCATTGTTCTCCATATTCAAAACCCGTTTTGTCCGAAACGATACCTTTCAATGTGAAAGGTTTGGGTGGAAGATGAATCATAGAGGAATTAACAGCAAAAGTTGGAGTCATGTAATTGAAAAAAGACTCAGAAATACATTATATCCAGAATAATTATGTCAACGGAGGCGATACCTTTGGAAGAAATATACAAAAGCATTTCTGCTTGGAAAAACGGCTTCTTTCAGACTGAAATAAGTGACTTTTCCATTGTTATTGGCCATTTTGGCATGATGTTTTTAATTTGACAATTCTCGCATGATATTTAACCAATCTATTTCATATTTATAACATTTGCTAATGATACCCTATAGTTTCCCAATAAAAACATTTTCAAACAATTCGGCGTATCTATCCGCCGGGAAAATACTCCAGATATATGCTCTTAATGAAACATAAATTGAAATAAAATATATCCTACTTTTATTTTTATAGTGTAGACTGCGTGTCTTTCTGATTCATCGTTGACTTTAATTTTGATATATAGTATGTACTAGTGTATGGATTACCTTGACATTTATATAATTTTCGGATCTTGTTAATATCGATTTCGCTCAGCCTAGAACGTTGTCCTATTCGTGCACCATTTTCTTTAGGAACTAATGTTTTATTGAAACGATTTATAGAAAAGGCATATGGCCCATAATGGAGGATACTGGTATAATCATACGGCTCCTCCTGGGCATCTACTGACTTGCTATCGTACTTTTCAAAGTTGCCCTTTCTTCCTGAAATCGAAAATTATTATATATGCAAATGTTTATTGTATGGTTGTCGTACAGGTAAACGTTTTGACGTCTTTGTATTCGACGTCATCGCACAGGGTGATCCAGTATATCTCATCCCCTACTTCCCCTATAATCACTGGTCAGTATCAAGCGAAGGTAACGGCCGCCACCTTCGCATCGAAGATGGCGGACGGGAAGTGTTGATTCCGATATTTTTAGTTTTTATCGAATTAAACTACTAATAGTTGACGTAATACTTTCATATTTGAACTAAACCCGACTTATATGACATTGACACTCTGGGGTATGATCATTTGTTCATATACCATGCGTGGGCGCCACAGTCCAAGGATATCTTACACCGCTTAAGGGAAGGTAACTGGGATTTTACAGATGTTAAGATACACTGGTGATCCACTCGATTACGCTGGTTACCGAAACGGTTCGTTTTGGTAACAAAATGTCGGAACGCCGCAGCTACTTTTTCTCTTTTCCTTATTTAACACGTTGTAGGCAAAATTCCCATGACATTTTTTATATGTTTAAGAAAATGTACATATGTGCGAACAAATAGTTCAGAAGACGTCGTCGATTTAATTCTTCACGTAAGTTACATAAACGGTTTTTCCAAAAACAGTTAAGATCTGCACTTTTAATCCAAACCGTTTATGTAACTTAAGTGAGGAATTAAATCGACGATTCTGTTGTCTTCTGGGCTATTTTTTCGCAAACATCAACATTTTCTAAAACATATGATACTGATAGACGTTTGTGAGAAAAAACGTCGTGGGGATTCTGCCTACAACGCGTGAAATAAGGAAAAAAGAAAAATTGTACCTTCGACGTTCCGACATTTTGTTACCAAAACAAACCGTTTCGGTAACCAGCGTAATCGAGTGGATCACCACTGAAGATAACTAATATGAGGTGATGCTGTAACGTTTTGAGAGTTTATAATGGAGAGCTAACATGTCTCGTTACCGTGTGTTGAAAACTAACATGACCGTTACCGTATCTTACATTTCGACCTTCCCTTAAGCGGTCGAAGATATCCTTGAATTGTGGCGCCCACGCATGATATATGAACAAAAAATCATATTCCATAGTTTCCATGTCATATGAGTCTGATTTGGTTCAAATATCAAAGCATTACGTCAACTATCAAGTAGTTTAATTCGATGAAAACTAAAAATATCAAAATCGACGCTTCCCGTCCGCCATCTTTGATGCGAAGGTGACGGTCGCTACCTTCGCTCGATACTGACCAGTGATAATAACAATAATTAGTAATATTAAAATTTATGACCCGCCTTGAAAAAAAGAAAGAGCGATAACAGGTGTTCAATGTTCAATGCAAGATAGGATAGGAATTATAATTTCATACAAGGCATTACCATGACAAAATGTCATCACCTAGTTGCTCACAATATTATTAGTCCAATATTAAGTCAGATTTGAATTTCTGAGAACTTAAAGATGATTTTGAAAAAAATGGTCAATTTGAAGCAAGTTGAAAAAAGACCTTTTTGAACCCGAGAAGGTCATTGAAGTTGAAATCTCACATCTAAAATTGGTCAATTTGAAGTAAGTTGAAAAAAATAATACCTTTTTGACTTTTCTACCTTAGAAGGCCAATGAAGGTCAAATCTAAAATCTAGTCAGATTTGAACTTCTGATGACTTACATAGATCATTTTGAGAAAAACAATTTGAAGCAAGTTGAAATAAGAACTTTTTGACCTTTATTGACCTTGAAAAGATCAATGAAGGTTATTTGTGTAAGTTTTAAGAATTTGTTACAGACGCCAACCGCCGATCGCCAACCGCCGCCACAAAAATGGAATATTCTCTTGTTAATTTAGACGCCTGCTTTGTGCTCACCAGAGGATATGAAATTCCAGTAAATCGTTACATAGTCGTCTCTGTCGGATCTGCTTTGCTCATGGTAGAAGCCTAATGCGTGTAACAGTTCATGCATGATGGTTCCAGTTCTTGTACATCCAAAGTCTAGAGACACTGTCTGGTTACCCCCTCTCCTAGCCACTTGAGACCAACACCTGTTTAGAATATATAACATGTAAACAGGTATATATACAAACTGCGTGTAACAGGTATGAATACATACTGTATGAATACAAACTGCATGCAACAGGTATCAATACAAAACTGCATGAATACAAACTGCATGTGACAGGTATGCATACAAAGTACAAACTGTATGAATACAAACTGCATGTAATAGGTATGAATACAAACTGTATGGATACAAACTGCATGTAACAGGTGTGCATACAAACTGTATGATTACAAACTGCATGTAACAGGTATGCATACAAACTGTATGAATATACGAACTGCATACAACAGGTATTAATACAAACTGCATGAATACAAACTGCATATAACAGGTATGCATACAAACTATATGCATACAAACTGCATGCAACAGGTATTAATACAAACTGCATGAATACAAACTGCATATAACAGGTATGCATACAAACTATATGCATACAAACTGCATGCAACAGGTATTAATACAAACTGCATGAATACAAACTGCATGTAACGGGTATGCATACAAACTGTATGAAAACAAACTGCATGTAACAGGTCTGAATACAAACTGTATGGATACAAACTGCATGTAACAGGTATGCATACAAACTGTATGATTACAAACTGCATGTAACAGGTATTACTACAGACTGTATGAATACAAACTGCATGTAACAGGTATTAATACAAACTGTATGAATACAAACTGCATGTAAAAGGTATGAATACAAACTGTATGATTACAAACTGCATGTAACAGGTATGAGCACAAACAGTATGGATACAAACTGCATGTAACATGTATGAATGAATACAAACTGTATGAATACAAACTGCATGCAACAGGTATCAATACAAACTGTATGAATACAAACTGCATATAACAGGTATGCTTACAAACTGTATGAATACAAACTGCAAACAGGCGGGTATTAATACAAACTGTATGAATATAAACTGCATGCAACAGGTATTAATACAAACTGTATGAATACAAACTGCATATAACATGTATGAATAGAAACTGTATGAATACAAACAGCATGAAACAGGTGTTAATACAAACTGTATAAGGGCTTTACGATAATTGATATTTTTGGAAATCCATGAATTCTCCTATTCTCACTGGTGATCCACTCGATTACGCTGGTTACCGAAACGGTTCGTTTTGGTAACAAAATGTCGGAACATCGAAGGTACGATTTTTCTTTTTTCCTTATTTCACACGTTGTAGGCAGAATTCCCACGACATTTTTAACACAAATGTGTATTAGTATCATATGTTTAAGAAAATGTACATATTTGCGAACAAATAGTTCAGAGGACAACAGAATCGTCGATTTAATTCCTCACTTAAGTTACATAAACGGGTTTCGAAAAACGGTTAAGATCTGCACTTTTAACCCAAACCGTTTATGTAACTTAAAGATTCTCGCAATCTTTATCCAATCAGCGTTTGCGATGTGTACCGGCTCACGTATAAAAGGCGAATCCAACTCAAATCCATGCAGGGTGTATGAGGTACTCGAATAGGAAAGAGCTCGTGAAATCTGAATTTATATGCACATGGTCAATGTTTACACATGTTTGGAGTTATTGAAGAAAATGTGATATGGGGGTGGTTCCGAATTTGAAGTCATTGCTGGAAAATATGATTTTAATACGTGAAATTATATCTATAAATACAGCACTAAAAATAACAGTACACACGAAGTACATGTATGATTGTGTCCAGAAATGTTTGAAACCCTTACGGAAAATCCTGTCTGCATTTTGTCACCATTGCTCTTTCTTCCCGCATTCTAGTGCTGTTTGAATGAATATATTTATTAATGTATTTCCAACTAAAATATATCACATTCTTTTATAAACCACAAACATTTAGATCATAAAAAGAATTATTCAATACTTGAGTGAGCACGATATGCAAGGGTTACTAAGTTGACACAAAAAATGACCACTGACATTGTGTTAGTCCATGCACACAGCGTATTCTGCTAATACACATTTGCCTTGAACACCCCTAACTTTCATAGTGAAGTGATCGTCTGACTAATTGGTGTATGTTTACGTTTTAATGTGTTCCTTGTTACAGCAAGGGGGCCAGTAAAGTAGACTAACATGTTTGCATGGCAAATTTTGATCGAATATGTGAGACACTTTAAGTGAGGAATTAAATCGACGATTCTGTTGTCTTCTGAGCTATTTTTTCGCAAACATGTGCATTTTCTAAAACATATGATGCTGATACACGTTTGTGAGAAAAAACGTCGTGGGAAGTCTGCCTACAACGCATGAAATAAGGAAAAAAGAAAATCGTACCTTCGACGTTCCGACATTTTGTTACCAAAACGAACCGTTTCGGTAACCAGCGTAATCGAGCGGATCACCAGTGTATTCTACCATATCCTGCGCCAAGTGTATTGATATCAACGACATTATGTGTGTGCTATCGTGATGTGCTACCATGACCATATTAAAAATATTGCTTATTATTTCTTAAAAACTGGTATGCACTTAGAGTTTGCTTTTTCTTGCTAAGTTCCATTACAACTTTTGGTCCTTTCCCTTTGGCACTAGTGCTTATATATTGAATAGTGATTTTTTGACAAAAATCAAGTTTTGCTATGGAAACTCGGACAACATATAAAATATGCATCAAGTCCGTCGATTATTTTCTAACTGGTTAATAAAACCCTAAACCACACGCCTCTTTTTCGATTTTTTCGCTTTTTATACACAAAGCCACGCCCCTTGTATCTACCTGTTTCTATTCTGAGAGGTAGGATGCCTAATCTTAACTGTGAAGTTAAACTACGTTCAAACCTCGAAAAAAACATTAGATATTTGTCTGTTTTAAATTCTTGCTTAAATGTAACATACGAGGGTTGATCATAAAGTTCTCATAATATCTGTCTAATTTCTTTATTTTTCAATATTTTCCTATGAAATTTTCACAGAATGTGCTGCATGGAATTTTTTATTAATCCAGCAAACAATATTTAGAATAACAGAAACATTAAATAAGAAATGGTTGCCATAGTAACTTGAAATCAAGGCACCCGGGACAAATAAAAGAAACTAGCTAGAATAGCCCCCATTAACCATGTTTAAATACATAATAAGTTGTCAAATAAGCTATCAAACGTTTAATTACCTTAAACCACGCCTCTTTATGATTTTTTGTTTAAATTGTTTTAAATACACAAAGCCACGCCCCTTTATCGGTTTTTCGCTTTTAATTACCTTAATTTACATTAAGCCACGCCCCTTTCTCGTTTCTTCGCCTTCAGTTACCTCAAACCACGCCTCTTTATCGTTTTTTCGCTCATAATTATCTTAAACCACGCCTCTTTTTCGATCTTTTCACTTTTTACATTAATCCACGCCCCTTTATCGTTTTTGCGCTTTTAAGTACCTTAAACCACGCCTCTTTTTCGATTTTTTCTCTTTTTTTAAATTGAGCCACGCCCTTTTCTAGTTTTTTCACTTTTTACATTTAGCCACGCCTCTTTTTGTTTTTTCTTTTTTTACATTAAGCCATGCCCCTTTATCGTTTTCCGCTTTTCATAACCTTAAACCACGCCTCTTTTTCTTGTTTTTTGCATTTTTACATTAAACCACGTCCTTTTCAATTTTTCCTTTTTTACATTTAGTCACTCCTCTTTTTCGTTTTTTAACTTTTTTGTTTATTATACATATTTCACCATTAATCTTTATATTTGGGTATATTGCATAGTAAACTCTAATATTCTCATGGTGTGAACATGTTCATATTGTGTTTATTTAGCTCGCATAGTAAGCTATATTTGGGAATCATTTTCAATACTACACTTGTTCCATTATACAAATTACAATTCCCTTTTTGTTCCTTTAGGGCAAATATCTTTTTATTTCCATTATGCATCTGTAGCATCTGTATATATTTCAGTAAGCAAATCACTTGCTCCCCTTTATTTTCATTCGTTATTTTAGCACTGGTGATCCACTCGATTACGCTGGTTACCAAAACGGTTCGTTTCGGTAACAAAAATGTCGGAACATCGAAGGTACGATATTTCTTTTCCCCTTATTTCACATGTTGTAGACAGAATTCCCAAGACATTTTAACACAAACGTGTATCAGTGTCATATATTTAAGAAAATGTACATATTTGCGAACAAATAGTTCAGAAGACAACAGAATCGTCGATTTAATTCCTCACTTAAGTTACAGAAACGGTTTAACGAAAAACAGTTAAGATCTGCACTTTTAACCCAAACCGTTTATGTAACTTAAGTGAGGAATTAAATCGACGATTCTGTTGTCTTCTGAGCTATTTTTTCGCAAACATTTTCTAAAACATATGATACTGATATACGTTTGTGAGGGAAAACGTCGTGAAGATTCTGCCTACAACACGTGAACTAAGGAAAATGAGAAAAATCATATCTTCGACGTTCCGACATTTTGTTACCGAAACGAACCGTTTCGGTAACCAGCGTTACCGAGCGGACCACCAGTGTTTGGAATCAAAGAACGATGTTGTATTGTTGACAATCAAAGCATTTTATATTCATAAAGGAAGCATTAACCCCATATTTATATAAGGAAAACTTTCAATGCACTTTGAACTTGACGCTGGCTAACCTAATGGTACATTATTCTCTTACAGAGTCCCTACTTCCAGTGGCATTTTGGTCCCCAGCTGTAAGAAGGCCTTCTAACAGCTTGGGACCAAAACGCTGATAGAACGATCATATTACAGAAATAAATTTGAGATAAATAAAGTCAATATAAAGAAATCTTGGAATTTAATTAACACTATCTTAAACAGAAATCCAAATCAATCAATACATTTGATCTTGAAAATAGACAAATCACAGATTAGTCCCCGATCTGATTTCCAAAAGGGCTCTAGAAAAGGGGTTTTGTTGTCCGGTACTTTCCCACATAAAATGATTCTAGCGTTTGAATGAACAGACTTCCCTCTTAAAGAAAACACCTCTTCTATTGATG